AGTTCCGTCCGATAAACATGAGCCTGAGCTCCGTCGCAGGTGAGCAGTCCATTTCCGGTCACCACCGCTCCGAGAAAGCTGTGAATGTCGGCTTTGTTTTGAAAGGCGGTGTTTTTGAGTATTTCCTAAAAATTTTAAAAATTTTATTGTAATTTTAAAATTTTTTTAATGTTAAATCTCTTGTACCTTTGCCAACTTTCCCTCGCAGACGTACACGTACGGCGGAAAGAGGCCATAGCCGACTTTGACCACTCCTTTGGTGCCCCCAAAACGATCACACAGCTCTCGAGCCTGCCGGCTCACCCTCGTTCCAATTGGATCACCGGGAGAGTAGGCGCCGGTGTAGGAGCACCCATAGAGAATATTCCACATCAGGCTGAAACTTTCCCAGGCTCCTGGACCGGAAACGGGCGCCAAAATGCGGTACTTTCGGCGCAGCGCTAGGAAGTAGTTGACTACTCGGTGAAAAAGGTAGATGAGAAATAGGTAAAGCATGGCAAAAGCGGCAGTGGTGGTGATGAGGGAGATCATAGTGAAAACAATAAAAAGAAATGATGAAAATGATTTCTGAAAAATGATTCTTTTTATAAAATGTTTTTTTGTTTTATTTGGCCAATTTATTTGAGCTAAAACAATGTCAAGTGTTTAGGGCGGAAAAAGTAGGTGAGCAGTTAGCCGGAAAAAAGGGCTGAGATGTGCAATCTCTCTTTTTTTTGCTTCTCAATGTCGAAGCACTCTGTTGTACGGAGTGAAAAACTTTGTTAGCACTCTAGGCAAACTTTTGCACTGCAAAAACAAAAGAGAGAAAAAGAGAGAACAATTTTTTGCAGCTTTTCAAGTTGTGCTCGTTGTCTGATGATGAAGTTAGTTTAGAAGGTTTGGAGGTGCAAAAAAAATGCTAATGATGATGATAGTGTGTACGTGATTGTTGTCCGTACAACCTCACACTCAGCTGCAGCAGCGTTTATAATAACGTCTTTTTTCGGGTGAAAAACGGCAGCCTGAGGCTGCCAGAGTCAACAACAGCAGCAAAAACAAATGGAAAGTCCTGATTATGAGAAAAAGAAGCAGAGAGATAACTTTTGGTGGTGGTGGACCTCTCACACCGATTTGAAGAGGATGTGATCTTTTGGTAGTGAACATTTGCCTTTTGTTTGCTATCTGCAGGAGAGAGAGAGAGGATGTGAACGAGTGCAATAGTCAACTGGTCATATGAGAGAGAAAGAAAAGTTAATCTACCGGTGCAGATCGGGTTCGTTTTAGTAGTCAAGTACACTTCTGTTCTTCTCTGGAAATTGGCTGCCAAAACTGTATGTATTTGCTGATACATTTGCCCATCAGGCTTATCAAAAAAATAATCTCTTGACTCTTTATTATCTCCTTTTAACCAAAATGAACCGACCGACCGGTGTGCAACACCACAAAAAAACTTGCCCTAGTTCTCACAGTTCCTTAAAAAGTAATTGAGATTGAGAGCTAACAACTGAGATAACTGAGCTAAGTGTGCAATCAAAACATTCTTTTTTGTTGTTTTTTCCGCAAACAAAAAGCCACTTTTTTTATTGTGCTAACTAATTGAGATAATTTTTAGCTACTTTCTCCGATGACTAAACTTGACGGCAAACCTCGCCGACCTTTGGACCATGTGATGTAATGGAGTACAAACGGTGGTGTCAGGATGGGCAAAGGTGAAATCGAACTTTGAGCAAAGCGACAGCAGTGCCAGCTTCATCTGCAGCATTGCGTACTTCTCGCCGATGCAGGCTCGAGTTCCGGCGCTGAAGGGATTGTAACAAGGCGGCGGCAGGCAAATCTCACCCTCAACTTCGAGCCATCGTTCAGGAATGAAACTGCCCGCCTCCCTGAAGTACCGCTCACTGTAGTGCATGTACTGCGACATGACGATGACATTGGTTCCAGCGGGAATCGTAATAAACTCCTTTTCTTCTGAGTTCGCAGAACTTACTGGCAGGATCACATCAACCGCCGCCTTTCGACCTAGATAAGGCCCAGCCGGTGCCAATCGCATCGTCTCCTTAAGGACTGCTTCCAGGTACTTTAGAGCTGACTTGTTGGTGAGCACTTCGGTCATTTCCGATGAAGATTCTTTATTTTTCAGAAATTCGTCCACCTCTTCTTGCAATTTTTGCCTAACCGTTTCATGCCTGCAAAGGTAGTACAGCGCCCAGGTGAGCGTCATTGTGCTGGTCTGGTGGCCGGCCAGCATAAAGATGGACAGGTGCCAGAAGGCGTCTCGAAAACCAGTGTAAAAAATTAGAGGAGATAAATTGGAGGAATAAAATGCTGACATCTGCCTATCAACCACCGCCCCCATCATCGTTGAAGGAGGCTGATATTGATCTCCTAGTTTCCTTCTTTGCCAAAACACTTTCCAATAGATCTTCATCACTAACTTTATCATTGCGGCCTTAAAAGAGATCACTCGGCCAGCCAGCGCCAGCAGTTTCCAGCACATTGGCCCTAGCCAGGCGGCCAGCGACATGATCACAAAGTTTCCCGACGTCGTCTTCCACTGCTCAATCAGCAGCCAGTCGGCCTCGGTGAGGCAGCAGTCAATGTCGGTAATAAATTGGGGCTCTTTTCCTGCTTTTTGAGCGCTAAAGCGGCTCGAAAAGAGGTTCTCGCCGATGGTGTCCAGCACTAGCGTCGAAATGGTCGGTTTGATGTCCTCGATCACACCTTTTGCTTCGGAATCCACAATTAAATTAATTTTGTCATTTAAAACGGCCAAATGCTTTTCAAAAGTGGTCAAGTACGATTCGAGGCTTCTGTTGGTAAAGTGCTTTTTCAACTCTAGGCGGTAGACTTTTGCCTGTGTTGTCTCGCAGGTGAGCAGACTGTTTCCGGTCACTACGGCGCCGAGAAAACGGTGAATGTCTGCTTTGTTTTGAAAGGCAGGGTGGGCGAGTACTTCCTAAAATTTAAAAATTTTTTTAAATTTTAAATTTTTTAAAATTATTGTTTACCTTTGCCAACTTTCCATCACAGACGTACACGTACGGCGGAAAGAGGCCATAGCCGACTTTGACCACTCCTCTATTGCCCCCATAACGATCACAAAGCTCATGAGCCAGTTTTTTCACCGCTGTTCCAATTGGAACAGACAATTTTTGGTTAAAAAAGCCGTTCAGTCTTTTGCGGTAGAAGGCCCACAAAATGAGCAGACTTTCCCCAATGGTGGGCCCGGGAACGGGCTCTAGTGTACGATATGCTCGTTGCAGGTTAACAAAATAGCGCAAAAAACGATAAAGAAGGTAAATGAGGGCGGAATAAATGATTGTTGAAAGGACAGTAAGAGAGATCATAATCTTGGTGATGGTAATGAGAATAAAAAAGATAGTGAAAAATTTTATAACTAAAAATATTTTTTTGTTGAGGATTTGCACCAGCTTATTGCCAATTAAAACTTTTTGTGACAAAGTACTTAAAACATTTGTAAGTAAGCGGGTAAAAAGTGTTGAGCAATCTCTACTTTTTGCAATAAAAAAAACCAGATAAATTGTTGTCACATTCGCACTGCAAACAAACTTTGGTGTTAGTGTCGTATACTGAAAAAAGATATTTGTTCGTGTGTTGTACAATCGGCGTTACCGTTTTTGTTTGTTAAAAATTAAAATGGTAATGAAAATACTACTCATTTGTAATCATTGCAATTTTTTTACATATGCTCAAATGCACTTGAATGAGATCGTGTTACTGAACTTTCATCCCTTTTCAGCTGAAAAATGATTACCCAACTGGCAAAAACAACAAAAAGAAGCAACATGTATTTTTTTTTATCTAAAAGGATGTGAATCAGTGCAATTGGCAGCTGGTCATATGAGCGCAATTGATCAATTTTTGTTCTTTTTTCATTTACCCAGATGAAATTAGAATGATATCAAAAATACGTGCCTGGACACTGTTCTTCTTCTTCTTTTGGAACTGAATGCCAAAATGTTTTCTGATTTATCACCACTAGTTTATTTTAGTGCAATCTTTGGACGTTTTGTTATCTCTTTCGGCACTGGTGCAACACTGGCATTTGTGCACTTGTACACTTTTTTCTCACAACCAGTTTTTTAGTGTAATTTTAAGATCTACAAAAGTGCTCTACTTTTTGTTGTTTTTTTCTGCAATTATTTTTTTGTATGTAGATTGCAAAATTTTGAGTTAGAGCTTGGTAAAAAAAGAAGTTTGCAAAATAGAAGTTTGATTCATTTTGTAAAAAACAAATAAAAAAGCATTTAGTTTTATAAGTAGTTCTAAAAACTTCTAAGGAAAAGTTCTAAAACTGCTACTGTTGTGCAAAAGACAGTTGATTAATGCTAAAATTTTTCTAAAAACTTTTACTTTGCTTCCGTGTTTGCTTGCTTATTGCTATTCATCACCAAAAAAGCTTTGATTTAGATTTTGTTCCTGCCACCACTTTGAAAAATGCAGTTTATCGCTACCATCACTTTCTTTGCCTCCATTTGTGTGGTGATGATAATTCCCTCATTTTCTTCTTCTTCTATTATCACCGCTACTTCTTCAAATCACCCCCAAAACTTCACCTGCAACTCTACCAAAGACTGCTCTGCTTTTTTCAGCAGCAGCAGCAGCAGCAACAAAAACAACAACAAAAACAAAAACAATCTCAACAACTACGTCTGCACTGAGGCAGGTCGCTGCAGCTGTCTGCTCGGATTTCAAGCTCAGAAAATCTCCAGCAAAAATGATTCTAAACAAGAAACCTCAAATGTTCAACTGCTCAAATGCTCGCCCATTCCCTGCGACCAGTGCTACACCGCCAACATGACCTGTCTGGGCGCCATTGAGTGTCGCTGTCTGGCGGGCAAAGTCACCCAGCAGGGAACCGTTTGCGAGCTGCAGTACTCCAAGGAAGATCACCACCACCTGAAACCTCGAAAAAAGTTGCGCAAACGAGTTCGAGTAGGTGGACAGCAAGGTGGTCATAGGAAGAAAAGTAGCAGCTCCTTTGCCACCGATCTCAACCGGAAGACGCTGTTCACCTTGATGGCAGTCGGCGTCATTGCCGTGGGCATGCTGATCGTCGCCGTGGTCTGCTTCATGGGCTTCAAGGAGAATGCTCCCTACATTTGGCCGGAAAAGTACGGCAAGGGCAAGGGTGGTAGTGGTGGTGATAAGGTGAAAGAAGGTGCTTCAAAGAAGAAGAAAGAAAAGAAGAAAGTAGTGGTAAAAAACGATGGCAAACTGAAGAGTGGGAAAAGCAAAGTTGGAGCTAAAAGTTCAGTTCAAGCTGTTTCGGCTGTTGGCTCAAAGAGCAACTTTTCCGCCGCCCAACCGACCAAAAGTTTTGCTCCTCAACCTGAGACCAAGAGCTTCAGTAACTTCAGCAACTCAAAGTCAAAACAAGGCTAAAAGTTTTTTGTTCATTTTTAGTGGAAAAAACTTTGACTTGAACAACTCGCTCTTTCTTCCGCACTACTTTGCACACACTCAGTTCACTCATTAAACTCCTTTTGATAAAAGCAAAAATTGATAATTTTTTTTTATCAAAATCCTTTACAACGCCCCATCACAGAGACAGAAGCCCGGTCCATCAATCGGTCCACCACGAATGCCCAGCCGCTGCATGCGGCAAAATTGGCCATGAAAACGCCCCCTCGCCTCGGAAGCTTTTTTGTGCGTTGAAGAACTCCAAAGCCGCTCGGCAATGGCCGACGCCCGGGGCCAACTTTTGGAAATCAGGTTTGACCCATCGACGTACTCTGCCCAAAGACAGGCCTCTCCGCCGAGGACCAGCGCCTTCTGCGCTTCAGTTCCATTGAAGCCGAGCGGATCAGTCTCATAGTAGCGGACCCAGTCCTGGCCCCAGCTGACCCAGTCGAGGTACCAGGGGGCGGAGAGGAGGGTCCGGTAACCGGAAGCGGTGGCCCGGGCAATCTCCTTCTGCCAGGTGTCCTGGATCCAAACGTGAACGACGGTGTCAGGCTTCAGGGCGGCCTTATTGTCGAGCACTTCCTGCCAGACGATGTACGACTTCCGGAGACCGGAAACGATGTCGAGGACTTTTTGAATGTAGAGCGATTCTAGCTGGGAGTAGTTCCCAACCATTCGGTGGGCGGTCATGAAGGCGGTGATATTTGGGTTCGATTTCCAGCAGTCGAAGCTCACTTCATCACCTCCTAAATGAAGATACTGGTCAGGGAAGCGGTGACTGACCTCGGTGAAAAGTTTCTTGATAAAATCGTAGTTTGATTCCACAGTTGGGTCAATTGGCCCGTGACCGTGCTCCTTTCCCTCCTTATCAAAGCATGGGGTCAGTAGGCTTCCCGACGGTTCACCAGGGCCCCAGGATTGGGTGTGGCCGGGAGAGTCAAATTCCACCAGAACTCGAATGCCTCGAAGTCGGGCGTACTCCAACAGGTGGTCGACGTCGGCCTTGGAGTAGACCATTGTTGGGTTGTAAGCTCCTTTCTTTGAGAGGTCGGGGAAGGTCGTCGACTCGAAGGGAAACGCCTGGTCGTCGACGATGTGCCAGTGAAAGACGTTTAGTTTGTTCATTTCCATTGCATCAAGCGTTTGAAGGAGAAGGTGAAGGGGCTGAAAGTGACGGGCGGTGTCGACCAAAAATCCTAGAATTAAAAAAGTTAAAATTTTGTCATTTTTGAAGGTTTCTATTTACCTCGATGCGAAAACCTCGGCCAGTCTTCCAACTTTCCAGTATTAATAATGAATTCATTTAGGCCGCTGTTGACGACCATTTGCGAGAAGGTCTCCAGGCCGCGCAGGGCGCCCCAAACTGATTCACCCACAATTTGGGCGCCATGGTGGGCGTCAATTACCAGAGAGTACTTTTCCATCATGTTCATGTGAGGAAGGTGTTCACACTTTCCATTGAACTTGATGGTCAGATTTTTTAGCTCTCCAGCAAAGTCCTTCTCTATGGCGTGATTTAGAGCGTGGGAGTAGAAGGGTTTTCCTAAAAGTAAAAAAATTTAAAAATTTGAGTTATTTTTGCCAGCAATTTAAATCCTCACTAAAAATACCTTTAAAGTTTGGATTCAACTTGTGGCAGTCCTGGACAAAAAGGCGATCCTCGTAACGTTTAATTGCCTCCTTTATCAGGTCGCAGCTAGGATCGGCGGCGATGATGGTGAAGTTCTTTGAGTTGATCACCAGAAAGGTCTCCTGAAGGTGAGGATTTTGTGTGTGTGGCCAGATGGAGGCAAACTTTTTGGCTGACTAGAGTTGCAGGAAAAATGTGGGTTTTTAGATTATGAAAAAAGTGCTGTTTTGATTTTTACCACAATTCCAGCCAAAAGAAGCAACAGCTGCAAACACAAAAGTTTCTTCTTCATTTTTGTTGCTGTTGAAAATAAAAATTATTTAGCTTATGAAAAGTACCCGTCAATTAAAAAACTGTTGTTTTGCTGCAGCACCAATGAATGTCTTTTATTTTGAGCATTGTATTTAACCTCAGACTGTTATCACTAAACTTTTCAAGTGGTGGTGGTGAATAATCTCGCTCGTTTTTAGATAGTGTCACACAGTAGAAGAAAAATGCCTTTGAGTGCAGGGAACTACTGATAGCTGATAGCAAATCAGAGCTTTGATAATCTAACAAAAGACCTATTGTGTTATCAGCATGCTTATCAAACATGTTAGATGAACGACCGTTCAGTGTGTTCATTTTGCTAAAAAGAAAACTCTGTTGTTTAGTACATTTTTGGGTGATGGGTGATGATAAAGGCAGCTGGAATGAAAAAGGATGTTATTGTGGGTTATGTAATACACACACAAGCACAAAATCTACATTGATTGATCTCATACAAACTCAGTGCCCAGTTATTTTATCAACAAAGGAGGTTATCAACAGTGGCCAGCATCATCAATACAAAAAAATTAAAAAGCGGCTCCTTTTTACGGCTCATAACGGCGAGTGGTGGTCGTCGTCGTGGTCGTCGTCGTCGTGGTGGGCCTCGGCGGAAAGGGCAGAATATTGTCATTGGTCAGCAGGCCGCCCTCAAAGGCGGGAATACCGGCGGAGAGGGTGAGGCCACAGCTGGCGGCGTTGGTCCGCTTCAGGTACAGGTAGCCCTGAATGCCCCACTTTGGGCCCCAGCTGTTCCGGATGATCCAGTACTCCTCCGTCCAGCCGACCAGCGCCGTGGCGTGGTTGGCGGTGGCGTTGGAGCAGCGGCCGTTGAACGGTCCCCGGAGGTTCTGCATGTCGCCGTCCTCGGCGTAGAAGGTGACCACCGCCGGGCCGTAGGTGAAGACGGCCGCCGCCAGGCGCTCGTCCTGGCCCATGGGCACCACCAGGCAGGCGCCCGTCGGGCGGCTGACCGCGGGAAAGGGCGTCACGTCGGCGCTGCAGGCGCCCTTTTGTGCCAGGTATGGCGCCCGCCAGCTCTCGGTCAGGCCGTACTGTCCGGCGCCGCTGAAGGTCTGGTGGTAGAGGCCGCCGCCCAGTCGAACTTTTCCGCCTTTTGCCTTTCGAAGCTCTTCGTCATCATAGTCATCATAGTCATCGTCATCATCGTCGTCGTCGTCGTCGTCGTCGTAATTGTAATCGCCTCCAGTTTTCACCTTTTCTGTTTCCTTCTTTTTTTCTTCCGGTTTCTTCTTCTTCTTTTCCTTTTCATCGTTTCCCCCGTGGTAGCTGTTATCACAGCTGCCCGGAGTACAGTCAAGTAGCACCTGTTCGCTGAAGAGCGTCTGATTGAGGCGGTCATTCTGTAGGGAGAGCATGAAAGCGGACTCCATTGTGGCGACGGCTGAAAAAAATAGTAAAAAATGTTGATGTTTTTTGTGGATCATAAAAAGAGGTCTAACTGTTGTTTACTTACGTCCAAAAATGAAGCTACAAATAATTAGGCAAATTAATTAGTAATTGAGTAATTAGTCAGTCATTTAGTTACCATGAGCCGCAGACGCCCTGATCTTTTACCGGTCCAACTACGGAGTAGTTTCCTTCCGGTGAAGGAATCGTAAAATCACGCCAATCCCAGTTCCAGGGCGGATATATCTCATAGGCGTCCAGGAAGGCCATGTTGCAAAGGCCAAACTTAAAAGTCTTATTATTATTGTCATCATTTCTTGCTGCAGCTGCCTGAAAAAGGCTGGCCAAACTTTTTTCAGAACCAGATGCAAACATTTTTTTGTATTCTTCACGGCTCTGATAAAAAGTAAAAATGTTGAAGTTAAATTGAAAAAAGTTTAACAAAAGTTAAAAATCAAACTTACATAAGCTGACATTGAGGTGAGGCCAATTCGAGTCGGCTCACCTTTCCCATCTCTTGCCTCTTTAATGCAGTTAATGACCCGTCGGGCAATGTAGGAAATACTTTCCAGTAGTCCTCTGATGCGTTTCACAAAAATGGTTAAACTGGCGCCATCAAACAGATTAGAGTGAAAATTCTAATTTTATAAACAAACAAAAAATGTTTAGTAAATCTTTTTTAAATAATTTTTTTTGAATACTTACAAAATACTTTATCACAACTTCCCGTCTGTTTAGCAGAAAGAGATTGGCACTGCCATCAACGCCAATTGATTGATCGTAGCATTGAAAAGCAAGGTCGGCGTTTGAAGAGAACAGAGCTGCTGATTCCTCATTTCCGGCTGGTGAATTGAGATTCTCATGTTCACCTAGATCTTCACTTTCCAGCGACTTCAAGACGGCATTCAGTTTATCACCGGTAGAAAGTTTAGCAAATGCAGGTGAATTGCCTAAGCGGGCATTTAGGCTATTCAGTACTTTCTGCTCATCAAAAGAGAAAATTGCAAAAGGGAATGAAATAAAAAGGGTTAATACGAAATGAAAAATCATTTTAATTTTTTTTCAAATGATTTTTCAGTTTGTTTCAAAGTATAATAATACACTAAATTGCAACTGCTTACTCTTTTATACACCAACTTGTTGCGCCTGATTTAATTTGCTTTACTAAGTAATTTTGTTACAACGGCTTTTATTATTAGTTTGTAGCTAAAAATTGAAACATTTTAAAATTAATGCGTTGAACTTTTAAATTTGATAACAAAAACATTTATCCTATATTTTTTTAAACAATTTAATTATAATATCAAAATAAGCAATTGCTTTTTTATTTCAACATTATTTTTTACAAAATTTATAAAAAATTTTTACAACAAATTTAAAAAATAGTTTTTTTAAATTAAAAATTTAATTTTTAAATTTGCCTGAATAACAGCAAGTTATTTTAACAAGTTTTACTAATTACTTAAATTAAATAATCTTGCATAATCAATTAAAATATTTTTAAATTAAAAACAATAATTAGTTAAATAATTAACTGGCTCATTTGCGTTTAATTGAAAATAACTAGACGTTTTGAAAAAGTATAAAAAGCTTTAATTCATTCTTAAATAATACTAACAAATCACCGTTTTTTAAAACCAAATCAAATTACCAACATGAAGTTACAACTGTTTTTTACAGTATTCAGCACAATCTTGTTTGTTCTAGTTTCTGCTACTAGTCGAGATGCTCAATCTACCAATAAACAAGACATTGGCCATTTATTGGCAAGTTTTGCCTCTCAATTTGATGCATCTTTACTGGTCAACTTGAACACTTCTGAAAGGCTCCAGACAGTTTTGACCTCTCTTAAAGCTAAATTTTCCCAGCTGAGCACTTCACCAGTTGAAGATGACAGTGCATTAGAATCACTGATCAGTGCCAATTCACTGACAGTGGATCAATGTTATGGAAATTCGGTAAAAGATGAAAAAGTGGATTTGTTTAAACAAAACCGAGGGGACGTTATTCAAGCTTATTTTGTAAGTTTATTTTGTAATAAAAAAAATATTTTATTAATTTTTTATATTTTAGAATCAATATCCAGAGTTATTAGAAGATGGTAATCTAGAGACTATTGTCAAACGAATTCAAGGGCTGCTGGAAAGCATTAACTTTATTAGCTCTCGCCTTAAAAACTGCATTGAGGATGCTAAACATCGCAAAATTAGACCGACAAAAATTGGTCTTACTTCAATGGCTGCTTACGTAAAAACTTAAACGTTAAAAAAATAAAATCTTTTTTAAATCGTTTTGAAATTTAGACTTTTGAAGAATACGGCAGCATCTTTATGAACAAGTTTCAAACCAAAAAGAAATACAAACAAATGCTGACACAACACACTCAAACACCGCACTTTAACATCACCGACTGCGTGGCAGAATCAAAGAAAATGAAGGGCAAAAGACTTGGGCCACTTCCAAAAGCCTTTGACTGGCGCAACTTCACCCTCTCAGGTGGGCGAAACTACTCGGTGGTGACGCCGGTCAAAAGTCAAGCAGGCTGTGGAAGCTGGTAAGAGAAAGAGTCTCATTTTTTTAAAATACCCATCAAATTACTAAATTTTATTTTCTTTTTCTAAAATTGCCCCCCCTCCCCCATACACACACAGTTTTGTGTTTTCAGGTAAAAAGAAAAAAAACTTTTTTAAAAATTCCCTTCCAAAACGTTAACTAATTTGTGACCATTTTGACAAAACAGTCACCGCGGCACTGGAATCAGGTTTCATGCTCTCCTCACAGAACACCCGCCCCAATCAGACGCTCTTCAGCGAACAGGCGTTGCTGAACTGCGCCACGGGCAACTGCAAGGTGGGCGGCTTCTCGGACGACGTCATCAGCGAGGCCTTCTACCTCGGCCTGACCGACGCCCACCGTCTGCCGTACGTCGCCCGGCAACAGGGGTGCCGCCCCCTGGCGGAAGCGGTCGCCCGACCCAGCGGCTACTGTCAGTCCTTTCGCCTGGCGGACGATGAGACGATGCAGCGGGTGATCTGGGCGATGGGGCCCACCACGGTGGGCGTCTACGCGCACGATCCGGCGTTTCAGCTGTTGGATGATGACGTGTGGAATCGGGACTGCGGTGAGAACACGCCCACGCACGCCGTCACAGCCGTCGGCTGGACTGAGGAGTACTTCATCATTAAGAACTCCTGGGGCAGAGGTTGGGGCAAGGGTGGCTATCTGTACCTGAGAAAGGATGGTAAGGCGCGCTGCGGCTTTCGGAGTGATATGCTGGTGCCGACCTTTTCAGGGGGCAAAAACTGAAATCTTGGATGAAAAATTGGTCAAGAAATTTTTTTAATTGAAAAAATGACGTAAACTTTTTTTGTTGTAAATCAGGCGTGATAAAAATGATTAAAAAATTAAAAATGTTTGCAAACAACAGCAGAAAAAAAATCTTGAAATTACGCAACATCTCAAGCTTTAGTTAGTAAATCCGTTTCAATTTGAGTGCAAGAAATTCCCCCGTCGTTGCACTAGGGAAAAATTGGGAAAACTCCATTAGAAAATTGAAAACTAAATCCTTCTGAATAAAACTATCATCTTTCCTCCTTAAACACTTTTCTCTCTATTAGGACGATGAAAACCTAAGTAGACCAAAAAAATGTAGTACATTTGCATTTTGACTGCCTCTCTATCTCGGTCTGAGTGTGTTTACGTGTAATCTAAATCGGCACTGCCATTCACAGGAAGGATCTGGTTTAAATGTAGGGGGGCAAAGTGAAAAGAAAGCCGCTTTTCGTCTTATCAACTGAACAAGCAACAGCAGCGGTCATGATAAAGGCAAGCGGCTAGCCACTACAAGAAAATCAAACACCGCCATCAATAATCTCTTTCTTCAGCAGCTACAGCGGTCACAAACTAGTTCTAGTTCTCCTATTTTTCATTACTTACTTTAATCATCAGACCATCATCATTATCAACATCATCATCATCAGACGACAGACAGAGCAAAGGACTAGAAAAGCAGTGTCACAACTGTTCCAATGAACTCAATACCAAGTATTTAGCCAGTGTCAACATCGTCAAACCGTGAAAGCAGCATTCACTCGGAAAATGTTCTACATTGTTGCACCACTGAACTTAAATAGAAATAGCAAAACCACGACAACCAAAACAACAAACAGCCATCTTTCCAGCTGACCTTATTTTTTAGCTGAAAACATAAACATAAACAAAACAAAATCATGATCCTCAAAATTCATCCTTTTCAGTACTTTATCCTCTTTCTATCTTTCACCAACATCACCTTCTCTCACACCCTCGAATCACCTGAATCTCAACAGCAAAAATCATCATCATCCCAACAAAATCTTCCCCGCCTGTTAATCTTCTCCTTCGACGGCTTCCGCGCTGACGCCCTCTCCGCCTCGGTGACGCCCACTCTGTACAGCCTGGCGGCGACCGGGGTCACCGGGCACATGCGGCCCACCTTTCCCTCGAAGACCTTTCCCAACCACCACTCAATCGCCACCGGACTTTACCAACCATTCCACGGCGTGGTCAACAACAAGTTCATCGACCCGGCCATTGCCGGAAGTCTTGAGGGCACCAGCAGTGAAAAATTCAGCGTCGACAATGGGAGCGCCTTCTGGTGGGACATGTACGACCGGAACGTTCCGCTGTACATTGCCAATCAGGTCTACGAACCAGAAAGACGCTTTAGCGGCGCCCTTCAGTGGCCGGGCGCTATTTCCACCTACACGGGCGGCATCCTGGACCAGGACGAGGCCGAGGAGGAGGACTTCTCCGATCCTCGAATTCAGCGAATTCGCCACCGAGTTCGACACCTGCTCCCATTTAGTCGAACCCTGAATTGGACCGCCGCCATTGACCACGTCGTCGACCGGTGGCTCCTCTCCCCTTTTCACCCCGCCAACCTCGTTCTCCTCTACTTTCACGAACCTGATTCGACGAGTCACGAATTCGGCCCCTTTAGCCGCCAAGTTCGACAGAAGTTGGTCAAGCTGGATCAGATGGTGGCCTACTTTCTGGACCGACTTCATGAGGAGGGGCTGGACACGAGCACAAACCTCCTCTTCATTTCCGATCACGGAATGACCGAAATCACCCCCTCCCGGGTGATCACCCTTGATCGGTGTGCTNTTCTGGACCGACTTCATGAGGAGGGGCTGGACACGAGCACAAACCTCCTCTTCATTTCCGATCACGGAATGACCGAAATCACCCCCTCCCGGGTGATCACCCTTGATCGGTGTGCTGAAGTTCTGGGCCCCGAGCTGAGCTATCGTCTGGTGGGCGTCTCCCCGGTCTTCTCCATCGTTCCGCTGTCAGCTCCGGAGGAGTTTTTCCGAAAGTCTTCAGGCTCAAATTTAACTTCCGCCGTACAGTCTGCCCTGAACCACTGCTCAAGAAGGCTCTTCAATGGCAAGTTCACCGTCTACCAGCAGGCGGAAATTCCCCCTGAGTACCACTACAGCGGAAATCGCCGGATCCTCGACCTTCTCCTCCTCGCTGAAGACGGCTACGAGGTAAAATACACGAAAAATGATGGGAAACGAATCCCTCGAGGCAACCACGGCTTCAACAACTCGCTGCCCTCGATGAGGCCGCTCTTTATCGGCCACGGACCGGCCTTCAAGTCAAGAGGTGGTGATTATCACCACGAAAAAATCTTCGAAAATGTGGACCTCTATCCGCTGGCGCTGGAGCTGCTGGGCATTCCCGGGCACCTCTTTCCCAGCAATGGGTCGCTGGAGCGGGTCGCTGGGCTGCTTCGAGGAGGAGGTGGGGTGAAAAAAGGAGATGATAATGAGGGTGATGAAGAAGTTCTTGAAGGTGGTGATTTTGAGGAGGAAACCGAGGAGGAACTCCACTTTCGCCTGCACATTCAACGCCAGGAGCTGGCCTTTGAGCTAGGCGGCCAGCAACGATTTTTTACTGAAGTTGTCCTCTTTGTGGTGGTCCTCTCGACGATGATCTTCCTCTGCTTTGTGGTCTGCCTGACCAAACTGTACGGCCCTAAAAAGACAATGGACTCTCTGTTAATTTTTAAAGGCGGACAGAGTGGTAAAAGTAAATTCGAGGAAGGTAATGGTTCTGGTGGTGGAAAGAGCGGTCCATTTGAGCGGTTTTAGTTTTTTTTAACAATATTTTAAACACACATTAACTGTTGTATCATAAATAAAAAATTTTTGCAAAAAAATAAAAATTAGTTTCAAAATCAAAATGTTTCAACTCAAAATATAAAAGTTGCAACCCTTTAACTATTGGGACTTCATTTTGAATACTCAACATCAGAAACTATTTCAACAAAATTAAAATTTTAATTTTTCAAGTTCTGCAAAAATAGCTGTCGAAAAAGTACGCGCGCAACATTTTCTGCTGTTCACAGTTTCAGTTCGAAAACACAAAGTTCCAAAGCGGGCGAACTTTTTTTGAATTTCGTCTGTAGATGNCAAAGCGGGCGAACTTTTTTTGAATTTTGTCTGTAGATGGCGACAGCTGCGCAAAAAAAAATCACACATTTCAGCTTGCTTTGTTTTGATTCTGATCGCAGTGTGAAACGTGCGCCTAACGTTTTGTTTTCCACTTTTTTGGAGGTGATCTTCAAGAAGAATCCAAAGAATCTCGAAGTACTCTCAGTTGATCATCAAAATGGAGGTCAGTTCAGCAGCTAAGGATGTCATCAACCCTGCAATCAACCTCGACGACGACCCGTCGCAGGCCTACACGATCATCCGCGTCAAGCGCAAGTTAGTGTCGACATCTTCTTCAAACGAAAGAGATGATAATTCAGCGATCCCCGGCTACAACGCCTCCTTCAAGCGACTTCGCCACCTGGGCTCCTTTACCGCTTCTGCCTCGGNACGACCCATCGGAGCAGGCCTACACGATCATCCGCGTCAAGCGCAAGTTAGTGTCGACTTCTTCAAACGAAAGAGATGATAATTCAGCGATCCCCGGCTACAACTCCTCCTTCAAGCGACTTCGCCACCTGGGCTCCTTTACCGCCTCAGCCTCGGCCTCGGCCTCGGCCTCAGCTTCGACCTCGACTTCGACATCAGTTCCACCAGACGAGGAGGCCATCCGGCGGAATTCGCTGCTGAAGATGGGCCTCTCCGGGCAGAAGCGAGTTCGCTTCAGCGACCTCAACCAGGAGCAGTTTTCCGCCTACGTGGAGACGCTAGGTGAGAAGAACGAGGAAAACAAGGAGAACCGAAAGAAGCGAAAGATGGCCAAAAAGGCGGTCACCTTTGAGCAGAAGAAAGAAANAGATGGGCCTCTCCGGGCAGAAGCGAGTTCGCTTCAGCGACCTCAACCAGGAGCAGTTTTCCGCCTACGTGGAGACGCTGGGCGAGAAGAACGAGGAGAACCGAAAGAAGCGAAAGGTGCTCAAAAAGGCGGTCACCTTTGAGCAGAAGGAAAAAGATGAAAAAGAAGAAGATCAGAAAACAGCTTCAGATGAAGGAAGCGGCGACCTCTTCAGCATCGGCCTAACTCAGGCGGACTTTGCCAGTCCAAAAGAGGAGGAGGAAGCGGAGGAAAAGTCCAAAGGTATCCTTCAACCAATTTCGAAATGGTTCGATTTTAACCTCTTTCTTTTTTAGAATCCTCAAACACAACTGTCACCACTTGCAACGGCGCCGTCCTCGAGGAGGTGTCCTCATCCTCATCTCAAAATGATCAAAAGGATTTCGAAAACGACCCTCAGTACGTCTACGACTACTACCTGATGGTGGACTACGTGCTCAGCTTTGAGGAGACTAAGCCTAAGGAGGGAACAGAGGGTGATGACCTCTGGGACGCCGACTCGAACGACGAGAACTACCGCTACAATGACTACCCTGATGAGGATGAGTTCGACTCAGAGGGTGACAGCAGCAGCGGCAGCAGCAGAAGTGCCACCAACTTTGGCTTTGTCGGTTCGAATTCGGAAGATGAAGATGAAGGAGATGAACGAGAAGCTCATCTTCGAGACATTGACAGTGACCAGGACGATTACCTCGGTGAAGGGGGTGGTCGGCAGTACTACGATGAGGAGGAGGAGGGTGAAGATGACGAGTGGATTCGGGACATGGAGCGGCGGATGAGGCGGGCGAAGATCACCGACGACGATGACGATGACGACGACCAGGACTCATCCGCCAGCGACTTTGACTGAGGAGGAGGAGGGTGATGAGGAGTTTCATTCTTCGAGTTTATTGACCATCATTATCATCACCACCCCAACCCTCATCACCCTCATCTTCTGCTTCAAAAGAAATTCTCCTCACTTTGATCACCTTCACTCAGTCAAACCTCAAACCTCTCTCTCTCTCTCTCTCTCTCTCTGCCTAAATGCGACCTCTCCCTTTTTAGCAATAAACTGCACCCCCTAACTTACTCTTCATGAAAACTGATCCTAAAAACCTGGAACGATTCTTTTCATAAGATTCCGTGATCTGTGAAAGGTCAATGATTGGCGGCGCTGCTGCTGCTGCTGTTGCCAACCGGCGCCAATCACTGTGACTAATGTAAACAAAGCAGCAGCAGCACTAAAAGAGCACGTTGCCTCGGCAAAAGCAAACGATCTCGATTTCTCATTGCCAAAATCGAAGCTCACCAGGACAACACCACCACCTTGAAGCAGCAAACTCGATCAACCTTTTGCCCTCGATTAATTATCACCACCACCACCACCACCACCACCCGATCATTAGTCATCATTAGGCGGGCAGTTCTGAAAAAGATCGATCACTTGGACGTCATCATCATCATCCTCTTCACCACAACAACCACTGCCGCCGCCGCTGTTACCATGACCAACTCCAAGCGCAAGGAGCAACAGCAGGAGCAGGACTCAAAGACTGCCGCCACCGCCGCCAACAAGCGCCAGAAGACTGAAGAGCCACCAGCTATCGGTAAGTTGACAGCAGTGAGTGTTTCTTGTACGAGACTGTGTCGTACAGTCGTGGTCGAGTTTCTATTTTTTCTGTTTCTATTTCTTTCTCTTTCGCTGTTGTACTCTTTGCACTTGCCCACCAGTGCACTTCTGACGCATCATCGTCTTCGGCAGTACTGGTACGGTTGGCACCACCACCACCATTTCTGCTGATAATGATGCTAGTAATGGTGGTGGTGATGATGGTGATGGTAGTGGCCACTTAACGATCAGTTTTCTTCGAAGTTTCTCGCTCGTACCTCATTTTCCTTCTCATTTTCTGCTGCTGCCACCACTGTCAACCGCCGCCGACGACGTACTCTACGACCGGTCGGCGACTGTTCGCTTCTCTCTCTCTCTCTCTCTCTGCTTTTAAGTGTCCTCAACGCGCTCTCACTTCATTCACCGACGGTATCTCGTCTTGTTCACACGCGCGCGCACGCTCTTCTCTTGTCTTCTCTTTCTTCCTCTTCTGTTGATTCTTCCTCTCTTGGCCGAGATCTCAGGATTTCTCAGGAGCTAATCTTTCTCAAGTGATCCTCATCCTCTGTAAGTACCTCTTTTTGCTTTGATTTGTTGAGCTTCTTGTTAAGATTACCACCTGCTGGAGATTGTACGGTAGACCGAGGTTGTTGTCAGTGCTTTCTTTCTTGTACGACTTTGACTACTGTCCACCGCTCATTTTGCTTCGAGTGTTTCTATTTCTCTCGAAGTTTCTAGCTGCCTTTAGTTTTTAGTTCTTTGCTAGCTCCTTTGCTTTCTTTCTTTCTTTCTTTCTGGTAGCCACTCACCGAGACTGCCACTTGTCACCTGTCGTACAGCAGCAGCTCATCTTTGTTTTATTTTCCTTTTTCCTCTTTTCCTTCCTCAACTCAGCAGCAGTGTAATTACCGTGTAGATGACGCCGACACGGCTCAATGAGAGTGACACTAGCACTGGCTGCTGCTGCTTTTGCCGGTACTTTTGGCGCTTTTGCCTCTCTTTCACTGTTTCAGCTTTGCCGAGCTTTGTTGCATCAGAGACCATCTGTGGTGCCGATTTAGTGCTGCCTTTTAGCAGCAGCGGCAGTTGCCAATGTGTCTGTGGGCATTTGCTGCCATTACATACTAGTGCTGAGGAAACCGGTCTTTCTCTTTGAGCCAATGTCTTTCAGTGCTCAGTTCTCGCCGAGCGTTGTTCTCAGCAAACTGCTCAGGAAATCTTTCCTGCCGGCACACTAGGTGGCAATGTGAAATCAGTGAGAGTTTGAATTTAAACTTTTGAGAGATTTTGTTGTTGTGTCTAGGCTTTTTGCGCTTTGTTCTCTCATAGCTCACGATCTTTAATCTTTACTTTTCTGGCAAAAACTTTTGCTATTTCAGGAAGCAAATCTCTTTCTCTTGTGTTTTTGCTATTCTCTCCAGCTTTCCTGTTGGCCAATTTTGGCAGCTACAACAAACGCTTAGCTTCCCGGTTGCCAGCCTTTCTCTCTTTTGTACTTTTTCAGGATTTTCCTTTACCAGAGAAAATAGAAACAGTGGTGTGATTGCCATTTGCTGGCAAAGTGTATTGTTTTGCTAGAAATCCGCCGGTTTGTGTGTCCATTTAGGCAGCAGCAAAGTTTCTCTGTTTTTGCTGCTGCTGCTGCTAATGACCACTAAATCTGGAAAGCTGCAAATCATCATTATCATCATTATCATTTAGACTGACTTGTCTTTAGCAGCTTCGTGACCGGTCCTACCATTTTATGGTCACTTTGGAGTGAGTGCTGCTGTTCTGACTTCTTTTATCAGCACAGACGGCAGACATTGGTTTTGCAGCCGATACGAGTGTGTCTGCACTCCTATTGCGGAATTTTTCTGAACAGTAAAACTGTTTTTTTGTGGTGGTGGTAGTAGTAAAAGTGTCGCCTTAGTTGCTGAGGAGATTCACGATTGAGTGGAGGCAAGTTATGTGGTGATGATGGTGAAGTACTCCATCCAAAACCTGTTGGCCTGCTTTTTAGTAGTTTTTATTTCTCTAGTTCTCCAGTTTTGTGAGTTTTGCTGATTGAAAGTACTGTTGTCAGGATTTTTCTTTCACTTCAAAATCTTTTGATTTTCTTTCTAAATCAGCGAGGCGCGCACGAGTGTCAGCTGATCTGTTCTTCTTTGTGTCATTTGATTCACCTGAGCTAGCTCTTTTTGTGTTTTGTTTTCTCATAGTTAGGTGTGCTGCAAAGATCAGTTTCAGTTTCAGTCAGTCAGATTTTTGGCATTTTTGAGTTGTTGTTCAGCAGCATCGGAGCAGCTACCTCGAATCATTTTCAGCCGAAGCCATGTCATCGCTCTTCAAGTCCTTCAAGCCGAAGCGAAGTAATCATGATCATATTATTCACATCTTTCACTTTCCCCTTATCTTGACTTTGTCTCTGACTTTGACTTTGACTGATTGCCCGTGATTAGCTGGGAGAGTGGTGGTGGTGGTGATAAGTGTTGATGTCTGGTAGATTATTAACGGTTTCCTTTCCTTTCCCTTCTTTTTTCGTCAGAGTCTGAAAGTTACTCTACCACTGCCGCTGCCGACTCCTCAGACAGTTCTTCGCAGACTTCATCTGTTGTACAGCAGCAGCAGAACGAGCCGAGTACATCTCTTGAACAACAGCAGAGTTAGTTTGTTTAGCAAAATATTTTCTGTTCTGCCTATGTTTGCTTTGC